ATGACTACTGTTCACCTCTGCCTGGCCTATCAATGTACTCTTCTCTACCAAACTATACAGGGCACCCACTTTGCAGGCATTCATTTGCAATTGTATTATATCTTGGGGTACTTTATAACCCAATGTATTCTCAGGAGCAAGTTCCTTTTCACTCACCCCTACATGACGAATCTTTTCTCTCTTCCTCTGGGTCCTAGATTAGTTTTACCAGGATCTGCTTCTAGGACTACATCAAAGAATGGTAAGGCTTCAAGTAATCCTACCCCATCCTCCCTACACAGCCATATTACAAACCGGCAAAGGAAAAAGATCAAACAAGACAGGCAGATCTTGACCCAGCACCATAGGGTAAAGCAAATCCGGTGAAAGGCCTACTTCCAAGAGGTAAGACTGTCCTTGCACTACCACAAAAACATCAGCTGTAGGATAGTACCTTTCATCACCATGAACACATTTGATTACTACTGGAGAGGTATGGTTCCATAAATTAATATGCATACTCCCAGTTCCAACTAAAGCATTTACTTCCAAACCATTCAAACCTACGGTTACATGATGTATGGAAACCTTTGCTGCACTAGTTGGGCTATCTGGTCTTGGTACACCACACATTTGCGTGTGTGGAGGGTTTATTAGGGCAACTAGGCTTTGTATGCCCTCCTGCCCACACTGATAGCACACAATAACTTTGGGGTTAGACCTTAATCTCCCACTAATAAGACCGCCAACATCACTCACAGGTTTACCTCCTGTTATACTAGTCTTCGTCGGTGATACAGGCCTCTTCTGGGTCTTTTGGGGTCTTTGAATGTCTTCCATTGGTTGTAAGACCAAGGTTGGCCTCGTCGTCGTGCTGCAACAAAAACATCTGCCAGTTCTGCAGCCCTTTCTGCTGAGTCAGGATTATGCTCCTTCGCCCATGTCTGAAGCTCTGGGGCAAGCATACGAAGATATTGCTCCAGAATAATCACCTCTGCAACTTCCTCCTTACTCTGATTCTGTGGCTGTACCCACTTGTTGAAAGTATCCTTAAGGCAGACAAAGTTCCTTAGGGGTCTCATCAGCTGCTACCTCTTTGTAATGAAACCTCAAACAAAAGGCCTCTGGATTAATATCATATTTCTTTAAAACTGCTGCTTTCACATAATCATAGGCAAGGGACTCATTAATATCCGTTCACATTAGCACTACAAGCTTTGCCAGTAAGTAATGGCACTAACCTCATAGCACAGTCTGATCTCGGCCATCAACATGCACTGACTATCTGCTCAAAGGATGTAAGGAAGTGTTCCACATCATCTTCTTCATTAAGTGGCTGTAGACGTGGCTCTGTCATAGCCCTTGACTGCTCTACGGCTTGACTAGCGATACAGGTGCATCTCAATAAATTAGAATGTCGTGGAAAAGTTCATTTATTTCAGTAATTCAACTCAAATTGTGAAACTCGTGTATTAAATAAATAAATTCAATGCACACAGACTGAAGTAGTTTAAGTCTTTGGTTCTTTTAATTGTGATGATTTTGGCTCACATTTAACAAAAACCCACCAACTCACTATCTCAACAAATTAGAATACTCCATAAGACCAATAAAAAAAACATTTCTAGTGAATTGTTGGCCTTCTGGAAAGTATGTTCATTTACTGTACATGTACTCAATAAGTGGTAGGGGCTCCTTTTGCTTTAATTACGGCCTCAATTCGGCGTGGCATGGAGGGGATCAGTTTGTGGCACTGCTGAGGTGGTATGGAAGCCCAGGTTTCTTTGACAGTGACGACATTCTAATTTATTGAGATGCACCTGTATATGGTGAATCCTGAGGTACATTGGCTCGACCACCTCCTTGATCCGAAGAGGTATATTGAAGACATGAAGGAGGAACAGAAGTCGGCGTTGTTCTCGTATGTACTTCCTCTTGAAGAAGCGTAAATTGATTTTGAAGAGCATTCTATCTGGTCTCCTGCCACGCTGCCTACTCGTCAAGTCGTTTGTCTCTCTGTTGCTGCATCTTGATATGGGCACGGAGCATGTCCCGTATCTCCTCTACCGTAACATTCTTTGAATAGTGATTCACTCCGGCAGATCCTCAGCATCAACTCCTCCTGTACTTGTTGCCGCCAGTTTATCATCTTTTACAACTCTCTTCGGTCCCATTCTGACCAATGAAAGGAAAAAAAGGAAGAAAAAAAACTATGCTGCTGCCCCCTACTGGCACAATCCCACCACTGGAAGATTCAACCAGTAGGAAAAAAAAAAAAAATGGGGCAGCGGGCCTCAGCACAACTTTCAGGGATGTTATTTTCAACACAAAATTACAAAATAAAGTAAAAAAAAAACAATTATACAATAAAGATAGGTGACTACATTTGCCTCTCTCTAACTCACAGAGGTCTATGGACTGCAGTACCTGTTCAACCTTAGAACCCCACTAACTACTGCACACACCGTTAGGCTTTATACTTTGGTGACCAGCACCAATTAACACCTAAAGGGAAACACATACACACAGATAATGGCCATTATACAAAATACACAAACATAAAAACATTCAATAAATAAAACAAAACCCTTCAAAACACACCTTCCCCAAATTACATTAATGTATAAATCAACTTTTATTTATATATAAAAAAAGAAAGTGGGAATTCTTGGAATTGTTATTCTTCTTTTCCTTTAATGACGTTTGGCAAACCTACTGGAAGGTGCATACCGCCGCCTACGGCACGACACAAGCATGACAACTTACGTAAAATAATGATCGGCTGAGGAAAGCTGACACTAATCTGTTAAAAAATTTTTTAAATGTCCCCGCTGGGAACATCCCTAAAATGCATATTAAGTATTAAGTTCTTTCAATCCACCTTTTTCCTGAACCCGGAAGTCTCGCCCGACTGGAACGATGCTTTACATTTCCGGCCTCTGGTGTTTCTAGTCAAATTAACATATTTTCCGAGCTGCTAATATAACGTTAAAGCTATGAAAATTGTTTTAAAAAGCACATGGTGCCATAGTTTCATCACTTTACAGTGTCACAATGAAAATGTCTTTTTGCTGTAACTCACCTGTCATAGTTTAATGAGTGGGTAGGTGACATGAAGTGACCCGTGGTTAGCTGCATTAAAAACACACGAGTGCACATATCCTACAAACAGCTCCTGATCAGGGCGAAGTTCGCAGGATTTTGTCCTCAAAATGATAAGAGCTCTCATTATATTAACTTTTTCTTTATTTTTTCACACACAGTATTTTAACTTAATCGCTGCAAGCCATGCTCGTTTTCTTTCGTCATCATTTATGCAAGGCATACAACGCCAGACACGGTCAGATTTTCTGGTGCGCAAAACAAGTACTTTACAGGAATTCCTTAAGCTTATTGCTGTTACTGTGGCAGCCAACTACAGCACAGCTTAAAACTGCACACATTTTTATATTTAGTGTTACTGAAAAAGCATCAGTTTAATTAATTCAGTCAATTTTTTTACCCCATTTTAACATGGATTTCTATGGAGACCAGAAGCCAGAAGACCAGAGCACCCAGACAGAAGTTAGAATCCATCATGGCGGCACTCATCAGTTACTCAGGAAAAAGGTGGATAGTATTCATGCTCCACATTCTGTGCTGCTGTGAAAGTGATGTAGAGCTTGACAAAAAAAAAAAAAAAAAAAAAATTTAAAAAACATTTTTTAAATGTATGTTGTTCGTGATAGAGCATATAGGTATAGCATAATTCTGTATTTTTAGCTATGTAGAATTAAGAATATTTCTATTTTTGCATCACCATTGCCCTGTGCATGCAAAAAAAAAAAAAAAACTAATATTGAAATACATTTTTTAAATGTATGTTGTTCGTGATAGAGCATATAGGTATAGCATAATTCTGTATTTTTAGCTATGTAGAATTAAGAATATTTCTATTTTTGCATCACCATTGCCCTGTGCATGAAGGTGAAGGACCAAGTTTGTTCAAGTTTTGGATGTAATATTTTTTATTTTAGCTTTGTTTAAAGTATCGTTAAAGGATTGTACCAAATCAAACCAAATCATGACATGAGAGTATCATTACACCCCTAAATATACTATATACATTACACTCTACTATATGTTGTGCAATTTGTGTGTATATGTTACCTCTCTACACACTGCAGCAATCTGTCCCTCATCCATGCATGTCTCGGTTACCACATCAGTAAGTGAACCACCTGCCAAATATTCCATCACCACCCACAACTCATCTCCTACTAGATAACTGAGACAGAAAGATGAAAACATTCATATTACAGGCATCAACCGGACCCCTGAATGCAAAGATGGTAGTAAAATATGGTACCTATATGGTATCTATATAGGTAGTTTTCAGTATTTCAGGTTGAGCAAAAAGTTTAATGCTTTGCTAAATATTTTTAATGTTATTTACAATTATTCAAATAGCAGATTTATTAATTTTTATGAAGATTTTTTTATTAGATTTTTTTTTATCTAAAAAGATGTACAAATGAGAATACTAGCAGAAACATTTAATCCAATTGAGAAAACAATACAGTACAAATGTTAACAAAACATTTGTTAAAAATGTTTATGTATGTGCTATTAAATAAACATTATGGCTATCAACAGCATAAAACAACTTATATTAATTAAGTTTGGCATTATCCCAATTAATCTCACATTTTGAATTTACTGCTTTTTCCTCTAAATATAGATTTCTGTTATTTGTAGTCCATTTTCTTTCGACCATTAAATTGAGTATTCACATTCTGTCTGAAAATGCTTTTATGAACAATGTACATTGAAATTTGTTATGTTCACGAATAAGGCCAAATAGCCATATTCACACACACACGCATGCACGCACACACACACACACACACACACACACACACACACACACAGGTATACATTAACATGTTAATCAGTTAATATATATTAAGACTGAAGGTTGTACCTATCCAAGTAGTTGACTATATTGGGGTTTTTGTTTTCCCTCATCACAAGGATCTCATTAATAATGAGCTCTTTCTTTGGCTGCTGCTGCAGATTCATCTGTTTGATTGCCACCTGAACAAAGTAAAAGGAACAGAGGTCAGCAAAGGGAAGGAGGCCAATATTGCAAATGTGGATGCTTTCTTAAAACTGAAACAATCTGGTTAACCTCTTGTCCTGTGGCAATATCGATAGCGGTGTATACTGTCCCAGATGCCCTAAAAACAAAGCAAAGAAGCAGGTGAAAACTTGTAAATTGTAGTACTAAATTGTAGTGACTCATACATGAATCAATGACCAATAGGGGGCAGCCTTGGATTATATTATTTTTCAGCATTTAATTTAGCAATTAGAATTTTTGTAATGCTCTCAGACCACCTCTCAAGAAATATGTACATGTGTATATGGGTATTTGACATGTGAGACAAGCTATACTTTCTAAAACTACTTTAAACAACATTTTTTATAATTTAGCTTTAATAATGTCATATTGTTTGAAAGACTACATTTGTGTTTTTACAAATGCATTTGTTGCACCACAAGACCATTTACATTTAACAAGTAAATTCAATCAATCAGTCAAAAAAAAAAATAAAAAATGGGTGCTAATGGCTGAGCACCCACAAACAATTTGTGAGCATGCAGCCGCAGAACATAAAACATACATAAAACAGTCACCCTTTATATTAGGTGGCTTTAACTACTTAACATTAAATACCTAAACGACTATAGATTTACGGTGTAACAAAATTTTCTGGAAAATTCCCACATTTGAAGGAATGAGTTTGAGGTATAGTATAGGATTAGAATGAAATATTTGGGTTACTGTTAGGGGTACATTAACAGTTAACAGTGTAACTACAAATGTTACTTATAATACACATGTACACTCTTAATAAGTAAATTGTATCAAATGTTAAAGTACACAGTACACTCTAAAAAAAGATGGTTCTTTAAAGGTTCTTTACATGCATGTTTTATTTAGAACCATAGCATTCTGAAGAACCCTTTCATGCTGAAATGGTTCTTTGTCTTAGAGTTTAGGGTTCTTTGTTCCCGCCCTTTTGTTTTTTAAATCTGTAACTGTCAAAGCACCTCATTATTGAATTTCTGGAGTTCAGTGATCCAACTACACAGACTGTCAACACACTCTCAACAGGTAAATGATTTCATTCTTAAA